AAATGAAGGACGAGAAGAGAAACCAGTGGGATGGAGGATGTGGTGTAAAACAGCTCAGAGATGGAGGTTTAGTTTCTATTTCAGTAAAAAGGTTTGTTATGTTTCACTTTATGATGTCTTTGGAAACTGTGACTTATAACCATGACAACTTGGCTGGTATTGTCTCATATGAATGTGTGTTATTGTAGAAAAACTTGTTGCCATGGAGGTAACTGTGGCACAGCACACAGCAAAGGTGCTATGATCAGTTTACCTGAGGTAACTAGGAAAGCCCGGATCTTTTGGTCATCATGAGTTTGGATTGAGAGACAGAAACAGCCCGCTCTTTAACATTTACCTCACCTTCCGCCTCTTGTCCGGGTCTGGGTCACTGGGGCAGCATCCCAAGTAGGGCCTCCCAGGCAGTCCTGTCCCCGGCCACGTCCGCCAGCTCCTCAGCTGGGACACCCAGGTGTTCCCTGTCCAGGTAGTCCTGGGTCGACCCTGGGGCCTCTTGCCAGCAGGATGTGCCCAAAACACCTCCCGAGGGAGGCGTCCAGAAGGCATCCTGACCAGATGCCCAAACCACTTCAACTGGCTCCTTTCGATGTGGAGGAGCAGCGGCTCCACTCCGAGTCCCTCCTGGACTTCTGAGTTCCTCACCCTATCATTAAGGCTGAACCCGGCCACCCTGCGAAGAAAACACATTTTGGCCGCTTAAATCCGTGATCTCATTCTTTTGGTCATCACCCAAAGCTCATGACCATAGATGATGAGGGAAGGAACATAGATCAAATGGTAAATTGAGAGCCTTGCTTTCTGGCTCAGCTCTCTCTTCACCACTCTTCATCGGTTTAGCGTCCGCATCACTGCAGACACTGCCCCAATCCACCTGTCGATCTCCCTCTCCCTCCTTCCCTCACTCGTGAACAAGACCCTGGGATAGTTAAACTCCTCCACTTGGGGGAGGACCTCTTTCCCAACCTGCAGTTGGTAAACCGCCTTTTTCCGTTTGAGAATCATGTTCTCAGATTTGGAGGTGCTGATCCTTATCCCAGCCGCTTCACACTCGGCTGCAAAATTTTTATTATTTACAGTGAGGAATAAATTATGCATTTCAGCGCTTTGGGCTTCCTGGCAGGGTTGCGGAAGGTGCTTTATAAATACAGCTTTGATTAATTGATGATTGATGTTGGAATTTATGAATCGATAAAAATGCCAATAAAAGTTTGCCAGACTTTACAGGCTCTTCTAGCATCAGGTGTGTTTTAACATTTGGTCAAAGAGGACAAACACCAGCAGTGATCAATCTGGGAAGGGTCCTAAGGTCTGTTGGTTTTCTTCAAGGAAAATAGAAAAACATTTGATTAAATTTGCTGTCCAGCCATCCAGGGAGAGTTTCTGTAAGTTCAGCCAGAGGTCAGAGCGTTCAGGGCTCAGCTACTGTACTGAGGTCCTAACAAGTGAAGCGAATAATGCTGCTAATGTGCTGGAAGGGGAAAGAAAACTCCTTTAGGATCTGAGTGAATCGGACTCAAACCACTTGGTTATTTCTAGATGACCAGGTCAGATTGTCTTTAAACATCTTGTGAGGACTCTTCCGAGCCCGGGGTCAAACGTGGTCCAAAGCCATAAACGTGTTCAGTAGGCCTGTGTTGACACATTCTTCCACAAGAAGCATCAATACTGGGAGCATTAACTGAAAATAAATAATAGAGCAATGAAAAACTGTCTGTTTCACATGTGTGTTTGGGTGTGTGTGTGTGTTCCACATGTGTGTTTGGGTGTGTGCGTGTGTGTGTGTGTGTGTGTTTGGCTGTGTGTGTGTGATTGGGTGTGCGTGTGTGTGTGTGCGTGTGTGTGTGTGCGTGCGTGCGCGTGCATGCATGTGTGCGTGTTTGGGTGTGTGTGTGTATGTGTGTGTGTGTGTGTTTGGGTGTGTGTGTGCGTGTGCGTGCGTGCATGTGTGTGTGTGTGTGTGCATGTGTGTGTGTGTGTGTGTGTGTGTGTGTGTGTGTGTGTGTGTGTGTGTGTGCGTGTGCGTGCGTGCGTGCATGTGTGTGTGTGTGTGTGTGTGTGTGTGTGTGTGTGTGTGTAGGCTGGGTGAATAAAGAGGGGGGAGGAGAACCGGTGACAGTCGAACAATGATAGAAAGATGCGGAACTGAGGATAAATGCAGAAAGACACATTTCATTTCTGATGCCTAAAGCTAGCAGACCGGCTGATGTGGATGTCTGAGTGTTCGGGAGCTGAGACGACAAATAGGAGGAGTGACAGAAGAGGCACAGTGGGAGGAGAGAGAGGGTGGGAATCTGTACTCGTCCTTTCTTTAAGCTTTTGTTTGACAACATTTTCTGCTGCTGTGCAGAAACGCTGTCTGTTCAAAACGGGGTTAAAACGGATTCAGGGTTTAAAGCTGACTTAGTTTAAAGTTAAACATCTTCAGAGGAGATGAAGTTTGAAAGAAGAAATTTGTGAAATACCTTCAATGCTTTGAATTTGATTGTGCCAAATATTATATAATGAATCTGAGACATTTAAAAATTGCAGACCTGAATAATACACGAGGTGCCTTGGAACTAGCAAAGAAAAGGACAACATGTGCAACGGCACCATTATCCCATACGTGGCAGGAGTCTGAGAGTAAACTGGTCCATCCAAAAGACAAAACACCCAAACAGAAGCTCAGTGGCGTCGTTTACCCAGTCCAATGTAGGAGCACTGTCCAGATCTTTACATTAGAGAAACTAAACAACAATTACACAAGAGCATGGCACAACATAGGAGAGCCGCCTCTTCAGGTCAAGACTCTGCAGTCCACCTACACCTGAAGGACAAGTGACACACCTTTGAAGATGACAAAGTACAGAGAAGATAGATGGTGTGAGAGAGGAGTAAAATAAGCTATCCATGTCAAATTTGTTTTTTTCCATATAATTGGGTGGTTTTTTGGTGACTTGTACCATTTTGTTTGTTTTAATGTAGGTTTTGTGTTAGATTTAAGTAAACAAGTAAAAATGACTTGTATAAAGGGGTAGGGATATATAAGTTTCCACTTCAGCCTACTCCTTTTCAAACACAGATGGGATGATATGTATTTTTTCTGTTTGTGGTACTTTTTAAAAAATTATGTATGTTTTCTTTGTTTGAAATAAACTAAACTAAACTAAACTAAATGTGAAAAACCTACTTTAAATTGGGGCGGGGCTTAGATTTCACCTTTCCAGTATCGATTATGCAGCTTTGAATCTCATTCCTAAGCAGTTTCAGTCTAGGTCACACCTTCCTGCATCTAATCAGTACAACCATTCCCACACAGTAGGGGCTAATGTCTGCAACCAAACCAAACCAAAGAAGTCCAGTTACCATCATTCGAACCCCTTTGGATCACCTGATGACTGAGAATCTTCACCAGCGTGATAAAGGAGGAAAAACTGAGAATCCAAAGAAAACCTTAAAGAAAGCAAATAGAGTTTACAAAGTTTAAGCAATACTAATGTAAACAAAAGCAACTATATGGAGAGATGATGATTTACTTTTTAGTGAGCTAAGACAAGTTCTTACGGTTTAGTCTCGGCAGCAGCAGGAGGATGGAGTAAAGCAGCGACCGAAGTCATTAAGATAGAAATCAACCAGAAAAGATGAATATCAAACTGAACCAACATTTCTGTTTAAACTCTTCAGATTAAAACGTTAAATTAGTTGTAAACAAAAGCAGTAAAATTTAAAAAGAAAAACAAAATTATGAGTTACTCTAAGATTTCAGTGATTTTCTAGTGCTTCAGATTCTTTAGAAACACAAGTGAAAATCAAAAAGTGAAAGGATGTCGATGCTCCACACGGTTAGTCTGGTTTGAAGTCTGTCACATGGAGGAAACACACCAATTATACTGTTTGTGTCTGGTGTGTGTGGGCGTGTGTGAGAGTGAGAAACTGTAACTGGACTGAAGTAATTAGAATGTTTAAACGCGTAAGCTTGGAGGCTTTTGTCTTTATATGTTTCTCTGTTTCCACTAGAAAGAATTTCTCTTTCCAATGTTTAAGAAGAAGGTTGGAAAAATGAAAACGTTCCTGCTTATTTGGTTTCAATAAAAATATCATGTGTCATATTGTTAGCCTGGCCAGCCCTCCTATATATGTGAGTATGGGGCTCGGGTCCTCTGGATTCCATCCCCAAACCAACGGCCAGTGTGAGCGCATGAACCAAGAACTTGGAGCCATGCTGCGTTATGTTTGTTCTGCGCACCCTTCCACCTGGAGCTCTCACCTCGCCTGGGTGGGATACGCCCATAACAGCCACATCTCCACAGCCACAGGTCAGTCCCCTTTCGAGTCCGCCTTCGGTTACCAACCCTCACTTTTCCCACTACAGTCACCAGTCACCTCCACCATTCCGCAGTTCCTCCGTGGTGCCAGGCATGCCTGGTCCACTACCAGAGCAGCACTGGACCGTACTGCTTGGAGTAACCAACTGTTGGCCGATCGCCGCCGCCGACCGGCTCCGGTGTACTCTCCTGGACAAGAGGTCTGGTTGTCCTCCAAAGACATTCCGCTGAAGGCTACAATCCAGAAACTGACACCACAGTTCATCAGTCCATTCAGGATTTTAGCAGTCCCCACTCCCTCCACTGTCCGTCTGGATCTCCCTGCGTGTTCACCCTGTGTTTCATGTGTCCCTTGTCAAACCTTTGGTTTCCAGTCCCCATTTTCCCACTCCTCTGCCTCCTCCTCCAGCTCTCCTCTACAAAGGAGGTCTCGTCTACACAATGAACAAGATCCTGGACTCTCGTCCCCGTGGAAGAGGGATCCAGTACCTCGTTGACTGGGAGGGTTATAGTCCAGAGGAGAGGTCCTGGGTTCCTCGCTACTACATTGAGGATCCGTCCCTGATCCGGGATTTTAAGGCTGCTTCGGCTAGGACGCCAGGAGGTAGCCGTTGGGGGGGGATACTGTCATGAGCCGGGGTTAGTACTCCTTCTCACCAACTTATCTCTGAGTGTGTGTTTGCAGGAGAGGGAGCTACAGCTGCACCTGGTCAGCAATCAGCGGGTCTACTATTTAAGGTGGATGGAGAACACAGCTCAGCGCCGGATGATTGCTACTGTTTGGTAGTTTCCAGCCCTCGTCTCGACATCAGGTTTTTGGATACTCTCGTACTCTTTGGATTCGTATGATTTTGTATTTTTGCTCACTCACCTCAGGTCTCGACACATCAGGATTTTTCTCACCACAACTCCATAGGACTCTGGATTTGCTCTGCCACGTTAGTCCATCCATCCATCCTGACTGACCCGCTCTCTCTCCCGTTCCCACGCTCCCTCTCCAGCTCTGGAATTCCCCTTGGACACACCCTGGCTCACTACCTTCCCCTCAGCCCTATTCCCACACTACCCAGTAAGTCTTTACTCTGCACCTCCCAGTTTAGACTTACTCCTCAGGACTCACCTCATTCTGCTCTCCCCTCCAGACGCTGCATTCTCATTCCCAGTCCGCTGGAATTCCCCGTACGCCTTTAGTTATCGTTTTCAAAATAAAATCTATTTTTTCTCATCCTTCTGTGTCTTGGGCTTGATTCTGCATGTCTTGGGTTAGACACCTCCCCCAGAACATGACACATTGTAGCTTCTTCTGGGGAGAAAAACACTTAGAGAAAAAATGAAGTTAACAGCTGAAATAGCAGGAAATAATACAGTTTAAGAGCAAATTGTAGAAGAAAGTAGTAGAGTGTGGAAAGTGGTCAGTGTGTCCTCCAGCAGTCTAAGCCTATAGCAGCATAACTACAGAGATAACTCTGGATAACCTATCCTTTTCGACTAAACAACTAGAGCTCTGTCATTGGACCGCCAAACAACTTGAGCGCTGTGATTGGACCACCACCAGATGTCCACATGGTCAATGGAGCATGGCTAGACCGATCATTTTGCTTCAACAAAACAATCTGTCTATTCTAGGCTACTGTATTGTCCCTGATTTCTTTTTCCACCTGGCAGTTAGAAAGTACGGATGGTCATCGTTCAATATGAAATAAAATGGGTACCGCGTACTCTAAGGCTGGGGTGTTGAGCTCAAATTCACACTGGGCCAATTTTGCTCCGTTTGCTCCACTGTGATTTTGGGGAGGAAAAATAAAATCCGCAGCAGCCACAGAGTCATACTCTGACTTGAGCGCATCGCTACTGGAGTTAAATCAGCTCCATCTGGAGGTTGGTCGGTGGGCTTTCCATGCCAACCACCAGCAGATTACTGAGCAGGTGACATAATCGGCATATCACAGAGTACACTCAAAGCTGAGTAAGATGAATATTTTCAGTTTGTCCCAGACTGAGGAGGGAACGGCTGCAGATGCAGAGACTGGTAGCACAGACGCTAATATAACAGAAAGGAGGGGGTGCTTTGACTGACGCGCCGCAATGCACTATGAGGTTTGTAGTATTTACAGCAAATTCGCCGGTGGGCCAGTTCTAATACATATTTGATATACGATCTCGTGGGCCAAACAGGAATAGATAGTGGGCCAGATTTGGCACGAGGGCCTGAGTTTGACACCTGGGCTCTAAGGCTTCAGGAAAAGATGCACCCGTTTCTATTTCCAGTTAAGTACTTTTTCTGTTTATGGTGACAGGCATGTTCATATGATGTCAAACTAGAGAAACTCGCCCTGGGAAGAAAAAGGATGAAAATAGAGAAGATGGAGCTGACTCAAAGCAAAGCTCCCATTAAAACTGATTTGGATCTGTGTCCACAGACACAAGGTTTTCTGCTCTTCCATGTTTATTGGTCACAGAACAAAATGGAGCAATGTTTCACCTCTTCATCTAGAGCCTTGTGAAGGTCAGAGGGGCCGATGGTGGGAGCTGCAAACACCACAGATCCCAGATCAACTGGATTTAAAACACTTCAGGGTCAAATTAGGAATTAAAAGGTGCATAAGCATTGTAGCTTTCAGCATGAAAATATTCCTCCTCTCAGTTCGAAAGTTTCGAACTGTACACATCACACACACTAATGCTGAACATATAAATCTGCAGGAATTCCTCCCGTTTGAAAGTCTTGTTGAAAAACTGAGGAGAAGGAGTCATTTTGCTGTGAGAGCAGCCCATTAACAGGTGAGAACCCCTGGAGGGAGGTCCAGCTGAAAGCTGCAGTATGTCAGCTTTGTTCATAATAAAAAGCATCTTAGCAAGTCCTAATATCACACAGGTCAAATGGACTTGTGCTGCGTCATAAAGAGAAACTTGTTTTCAACAACACTTGTGCTTGATGTTTAATGCTTGATGCTTTATACTGTATGTAAAGGAAAATAAAACACAAAATATGCAACAGCTGAACAAATGGGCTCAGCTCCGGGACATCTCTCCTCTGATTGGCTAACAGCAACACAACTCTTACCATTGACTCAAATAGCACAAGCCTGGAGGAGTTCTGCTGTATTGCTTTGTAACATGTAACCATAAAAATCGGGTCTAAAGTACATAGGGCAAGGGTCTAGTATCTTTGGGGGATGCCATAATAGACGCCGTGTTTCCTTCTGGCCGGCTCGGGGTCCTGCGCCTGTCAGTGACGTTGAACTAGATGATTGGCTGGACGTACAACTTACGGAAGCTAAGTAACCACGTTCAAAAATATTTAGGTTGTAAATAACAAGAATTTAATAACAAAACTGCTAAACTCTTCCCAAAACATAAGTAAAAGAACAGAATCGAAAAAGGGATGCAGTAAAGTTTGGCCGAGTGGTATTGCCATAGTATGATGAAGTCATCAGCAGGTGCAGACTCTGAGCAGGTCTGGAAACTACAGCACCAGAAAACCAGTATTGGCATTGCGTTCTCTCGGTGGAGTTAACTGATGGACCATCAAAGTTGGAGAAGTCACACTGAGGTTGCACGCTTTCTGGCAACAATACAATTCTCCGAGTCCAAATCTGAACCATTCCCAATAACTTCAAGTCATTCATGGACATTTGATCAAACCCATTTCTTTGTATGCTGGTTGGTCGTCAGATACTGTAAAACCTGTTTTAACTCGCAGGTTATGTAACACAAGCTGTGTGTGAGGAAAAGAAAGTCTGATTAAATCTGCAAAACTTAGAGTTTACTCTTCCTGTCTGGTACAGATTCTGTCCGTAACTGTACGTTGGCAGCAGACGGTCTGTTGCTGCAGGTCTGTTTGGTTTCCACAGACTGACTGACAGGTTTCTCTAGTAGAGCAAACAGAACGCCTCTGATGTTAGGCTTTTGACTCGCATCCCCTCATGTCTGCACGCCTGTTATGAGTGATAAAATATGAGAAGACTGTGATGAAGACGTGTGAGGAGACATCTCTGCTGCATCCTGCTGAAGGAAACTCGCACACAACATCCCACCAACAATCTAATTAAAGAGCTGGCACCCAATAACATGGTTCATCAAACTGTCAGTCAGCAGCGAGCAGCTAATGAGGCACATCCAGATGAAAAACTCAACAATGAGTAATGTTTACTTTTGTTTGGCTTCAAAATTAAAGCGTGAGCACATTACACCGGTTTTAGAATCATTGCATTGGCTCCCTGTATGTTTCAGGATCAATTTTAAGGTTCTTCTAATGGTTTTTAAGTGTCTTAATGGCCTTGGGCCTTCTTATCTCTCAGAACTGCTTTTACCATATGAACCCTCATAGCCTCTGCGCTCAGGCGTCTCCTGGTCATCCCCAAAGTCAGAACACACACACGGCGAGGCGTCCTTCCAATATTACGGCCCTCGGCTCTGGAACGATCTGCCGGAGGACCTCAGGGCCGCAGAGAATGTTCATGTTTTTAAGTCCAGGCTCAAGACCCACCTATTTAGGTTAGCTTTTATCTAATAATTTACTAAAGTTTTATTTCCGTTTTACGTGATCATATTTTATTACTGGCCTTTCATGTTTTATATGATTATATTTGAGCATTGTTTCATTATTTAATATTATTTTACTGTCTATATGATTTAATTTATTACTTATTTTCTTACTTTAGTCATTTATACTAGCTATTTTATTTTCATATTTTTACTCATTTTAATCCAGTGTTTTCTCTGTAGGGGCCCTCTGCCCCAGGGGCGGTGGTCGACTGTTGCTTCCTGGGCGCTCTATAGGTAGTGTTTAAGTGGAGGTGGGGGTCATTGCTCCCCCTCCACTTAGCACCCTGACTTAGTGTGGAAGACCTGATGCTGCCGGGGCAGATGGCTCCTCTGATGGCGTTTCCTTGCCTTACCTTACTTGACTCATCTGGACTCAGCCGAAGATACATTTTTACTGATGTGTGTGTGTGTGTGTGTGTGTGTGTGTGTGTGTGTGTGTGTGTGTGTGTGTGTGTGTGTGTGTGTGTGTGTGTGTGTTAATGTTTTTAAACTGTTATGGGAATTTGGGGTCATTTTGTAAATCACTCTGAGTAGCAGTTTGCTTGAAAAGCGCTTTATAAATAAAATCTGATTGATTGGTTGAAAATTAAAGCGTTGCAACTTGCTTCACTGGCTGCAGCTCTCCTCCAGCTGCCCTGTACCTCCTGCATAGCTCCTTAAATACCTGTATTGCATCAGTCAAGAACACGCAGACATCGCACACACCTGTGGGGCCGCTACATGTGTGCAGCAGCAGGTATGCTCCCTTGCTCTGCTCCTGAGGGGAAATTCTGCTTTCCTGAGCAAGTTTTGTTTTTGACAGTTTGGAGGCAGAAACCATGAAATCCACTGGATCACATGACTGGTCACTTTCAAATCAATCCCACCCATGTGATGGCCATGACCATAGCTGACAGCTGTTTTTGTGAAGGACAATTTCACTAAATAATTTAGTTCCAAACCTGCAACTCTCAAGCCTGGAGCACACCGGAGGCGGCCGCGCCCACGGCGTGCCTCACCATCATTTTAAGTAGAAGCCATTATAGCTAATGAGAGTGGGCACACGGGGAGCCCCATCCCAGAAGCGCCGCGCCGAGGCGTTCAAGATTGGTGCCAGTTCTATCTCAGGCGCTGCAGCTGTTTACAACATTGTGGAGTATTTTACAACAGACATTACGACAAACCCACCTGCAGTTTTGATAACTTTAAAGTACTATTGGCCTTAAAATATTCTAATAATAGCTTACTTACCCATTTTTAATGAATTAGAGTCTCAGAAAACACGACAGCAAGTCTGATCACGTATACACACTTTCCACTTTCTGTTCACAAGTTCCGCGTGATGTCGTGACTATTGCGTGACTTTCCTTTTTCTTATTTTTCTTTTTTTTCCCCGTGTCCTGTCTGGCTGTGAAGCAAGCAGAATTAATGTCTGAATGCTGGTGACAAGCCGTACAGATTTACTCTCAGGTGGAGCATCAAAGCATCTTCTCTTAATGTCACGCCTGATACTTAAAACTTTATTGTTATAGTTTTTTGAATGCTTGTAATTCCGACCAGACACGGAGACAGAGGTGACCTGAAGAAAGAGAAAAAACAAACAAAAAAAAAAAAGAAGGGGACACACAACAATACAACTAGATCAAGCTATCACTGCATCACACGCTTGTATTTGTAAGGTTTCTCTATAGGAGCGTCCAATAGAGAGTGTGAGGGGCCACAGATCTACCCCCCAAAGATGTGTAGGAGATGGAGGGAGCTTCAAGTCCGAGAGATCCAGGAGCTGCCCCAGAGCGCAGGGACCCCAGGAAGACTATAACCAGAAAAGCCCCAGCCCTCTCGAGAGGCGCAGAGGATTGCCCCGAGGGGTCACAACCAGCAGCTGGCAGAGTCCCAGGAGATATCAGCGGCAAGCCCACAGGCCCGCCCACAGCCTCCCACCCCCAAGCTGGCCGAGGCCGGAACCCAGTGACCCAGGACCCAGGGGCAACCACCCCCTCCGGGGACCCAACAGAGCCCAGGGACTCAGATCCCACCAGGTAGCCACTGGGATCAATCAGGCAGACTCCAAAAATCTGAAACCCCCTGACCCGGGAGCCGCAAACACTCAGGCAGACCAAGGCACCACACTCCACATCTAATGTGGCAGAGGGTTTAAGATCAGAAGTGGCAGGGGGAGGGTAGGTGAAGATGTGTAGTAGCTAGGGTTGTCACGATACTAAAATTTCAAACTCGATTCGATACTTGAAAAAAAAACTCGATACTCGATTTCGATACTATTTAAAAACACCAATTTATTGAACAAGTTTATTCAAAAAATAACATTCCTCAATTTATATTGCAAAAATAAAATGTTAAAAATTAAGTGTATAAAGTGCTTAAACCTTTCAAGTATCCGCATTTTTTAAAACTTGCATACAAAAACTGGCGAAAGTTAACACTTTAAATCATGAATTGTCTCACTATATATACACTATTTGCAGAGTGATGTTTTGCTGCTTAAACTCTGTTTAAGGTGCATTTTTGTCATAAGATGTAATGCCATATGTTTTGTTCTGTACTTTTGAACAACTCTGTTGGTCAATAAAGGAAGAAAACGAATTTCTCCACAGTAGGACAAAGGTACATCTACCGGTAATCTTAATAAAAACAGACTGGCGCACGGCAGTGACGTCATTAAAAGCGCTGGTTAGATTAGCCGCGGCTAGTCTGTTCACGCCTAGAAATCCCAGACCCGCTCCAAATGAACAGGGGAATCATGTTAATGATTCCTAACAAAACCATTCGACATTGAGATGTTTTGGTGCAGATAATGTCTTATTTCGAGGCTGCACCATGGGTGCCCGTCCGCACCCGTTATATGGACATACACTGATGGCGATTCGCCGATGGAGCTACGGTAAATACCCCGGGGAATCCAAGTAGCACCAAAGTTGTCAGCGTGAGTAAACAAACTTACTGCATGCTAGAAATTAAGTCCGGGTTGCAATAAACGGGAGTTTCCTTTAAGCACATAAGCGTGAATATACAACTACGTGTCGGACTTGGTATGCTAATTAAGCTGGGCTGTGAAGCGCCTCCCAAATTCGCTGTTTATGTTTTTGTTTATTTATTTGGCAGACAAAACTTGGATCAGAGACAACTCGCGTGGGAAATTGTAATGTAGCCATGCGGCGTCTTCTTCTGTTTGTCTGGGAGGCGGAGGCTGCTTTACGGCATCTGGCTGTCGTGCGTGTCGGTGTACTTGAAGAAGGATGTGTATAATAGTCCATAATATTGATACCACAGGGATGGAATATCTAATTTAGATACCACTTTTAGTATCGATTTATATATGTATCGATTTTTTTGACAACACTAGTAGTAGCACAAGAAGTCCCAGGAGAGGGGAGGAGTCCAAGACCCCACCTGACTTATACAGCCACCATAATGCGTGACTTTCCAAGAAGCGCTCAGCGGCGCATCCTGTGTGACCACTTGACTTCTCAAAATCTCAGGTGTGACACAGCGTGGCGAGTCTGTCTCCGGTGTGCCCCAGGCTTTAGACTCCTCACACACGGACCAAATGGAATGTAGATATTTTAAAACACATGATGCAAGATGTGTTTATGTTTGTATAAAGGACACAAAACTGATGTTTAGCATCTTAGTATCATTTTCAAGTCTAAAAATCACCATGAAAATCACCTTATGTGAATTTTTTTCGGTTAAAGGGGACATATTATGCGAAACTCACTTTTGCATCCTACTATGCTGCCACATGGAGACTGGTTTAAACTGGCTGTGAACTTCTTGGACATGTTTTGTGTAGTACTATTTTCACAAGAAAAAAAAGAGGTCATAATATGTCTCCTTTCATGCGATCTCCTAGTATAATCTTAAAAATATGACCAGGACCAGATCCTAATCTGGTTCTGACTGAACAAGTTGAATATTCACTTTTTGCAACAGTTAACCAATAAAAAAACTTGTAATTTAGGAACAATAAACTTTTTTGTCTGCCAAGCATCCTGGTGGAAGGGATTCTGATAATTCAGATGAACCAAGCTTGTTCATATTTGCTGTTTCATGTTCATGCAGATCCACCTGACTAGTAATGAGCCTAAATTTGCTTTTCATAACTCTATGATATTGACTTATAGACAAATAATTGTCAGCAAAATGGATAATTTCCCCTCCTGTAATTATTATTTGCCTGTTGTTGAGATCTTAGTATTCATCTGGGAGTCATAAAAACTAACCAGGTGGAAACGAGAAGGAAAAAGGTTTTATTTTGTTCCCCAGAGGTGATGCAGGAGATGACTCATAGTTCTGCTGCCATACTCTCCGTCAGTTGCTTTATCTCGCTCTCATAGCCTCTCTGGTCTCTCTACCTTCTATCTTCTGTGAACACAAATGTCACACGTTTGGTTTGAAAGGCTCTCTGTGGTCTACAGCCTCAGGATGTGAGCTCTGCTGTCAGATGTCTTTATCATCCAGAGGACTGTAGATCACCTTTCCTGCATGTTTTCTCAGCTTTCTGCACTTTTCTAGCATCAGAGAAGTGGAGTGGAGCTGCAGACTGGATGGTTGGTTTGTGGGTGTGTGGGTGAGGAAATAAAGGAAGATGGAGGCTGAGAACAGGTCAGAGGAGGAGAGAGAAGAAGAATAAGGCAGAGAGAGAGAGACAGGGAGAGAGAGGACAATGAGAGCGGATTTAAAATCGTTTGACAGGCTGTGATTTTCCTCTCGTCTGCTGGTTCGGATCGCTGTTTAGTTCAGGAGCTTCTCCCTGTTGCTGCCAAACCAGGAGAGGAAGGAGAAGGGAGAGGAACAACTCATCTCTCCATCACACCCGTAAGTTGGTGCTCTAAGGAATATGTGTGTGTGTGTGTGTGTGTGTGTGTGTGTGTGTGTGTTTGAGTCTTACTCTGTACTTTTAGTTACAGATCAACATGTTTTCGTGGATCTAAAGACTTCAATAAGTGCAGTGTCATATGTTTTGCTACAGTGACTCACTCGTTGTTGCCATGGGGACGAGGCCCATGTTGGAATACAGTAACAGGTTTTCTATCTCGCATCAGTAGAACAGGAGCTCCTTTGTCTGAGTTCAGCATGTCGTATGTCTAATTTGTTGTGTCTAAGTACAATAGAAAGATCTCAAATGCTGCACACAGCTTGGTATAATCTGGGATTATCTGAGAATTTATTTCTAACTTTTAATTTTTTCAGATAATTAGTTAACCTCTTTTCATGACGTAAGGTGAGCTTCCTGCGTGACCCACAATGAGTTTTTATCTTTTTCAAACATCTGAAGCCAGCATGGATAGTTGTAGCTAAAGATGTGTTTAATACAGTTTAAACCTTTTTCAGTTCATCCTAAATAGAAATTTCTTAATCAGATGTTGTCTTTTCATTTTCAAAAATACAGACTCTGTATTTATGATGAAGCACTCTACAGGTATGTTTTTAGATTGATTGATTAATAAAGTTTTATCTAGATTTCTCTGATAACTTCCAGCCGAGTGTAACTTCTGCCAAGCTCAGGTGCCGTAAAAAAAACGGTTTATTTGTTGCGCCGTGTCGCCGTCCCTGCTGCCGCTCCACGGGAGGATTTTGTTGTGTGAAGACAGGGAAAATCTGCTGCTGTGAGAAACACGTGTCGACAGGCAACCATGGAGAAAATCTGTAGCTGATTCTTCGGTTTTCGTGTGAAAAATCAACCATGAGCAGAGAAAAGTGTCATGGTCTGCTTCCTGCGTCCCCCTCATGTGTCTCTTTGTGTTCTCCATCCCTCTCTAGGTTCCCCTCATTTGTCTCTTTGTGTTCTCCATCCCTCTCTAGGTTCCCCTCATGTGTCTCTTTGTGTTCTCCACCCCTCTCTAGGTTCCCCTCATGTGTCTCTTTGTGTTCTCCACCCCTCTCTAGGTGTCCCTCTAGGACCCCCCTCATGTGTACCCAAGCTTCCTGTGCCCCCTCTTTTTCCCCAGCTCCTTCCCGGTCTCCCTCAGGTCTCCCCTAGTCACCCCTCTGTAGTTTTTTTAATAGGTTCGTCTTTTCATTTTATTAGTCTCCTTTAGTGTGTGTTTCCTTCCCCACTTGTTAATTAGTCTCCCTTACTCCTCAGGTCATTAGTTATTTATTCTTTGGTTCTCCTGTGCCCTTAGTCTTTTAGGTTTATTATTTATTTAGAGCTTTATAGGTTAGGGTTTATTCCCTCTCTTGGTTTTCCCTTCCCATTCAGTTAATTGATTTTACCGGTCTCCCCTCAGTACTCTCTCCTCATGCACCTGCTCCTCGTCTCCCAATCACCCCGTCACTGTGTATATAACCCTGTCTGCGTCTCAATGTTTTGTCGGTCCATTGATGTTTTTGAGCGTTGTTCCATTCCCTTCCCTTCCCTTCCCTTCCCTTCCCTTCCCTTCCCTTCCCTTCCCTTCCCTTCCCTTCCCTTCCCCTCTAGGTCTCTAGGTCTCTGCTCATAAGTGAGCTTTTGGTTTTGTCTTTCATTTTAGATATTAGGTTTGGCTTCCTGCCTTTTTGGATTTTTGTCCCCATCCTAATAAAAGGATTTTACTTTTACAAGTCACCCCTGCCTCGTGTCGTCTGGTTGTTCTGCATCTTGGGTCCTAACCTCCCCCTACTCTCAATGTGACAAAAAGTGGTAGAAACCAGAATTTATCTCCTAATGTCTGAGTGGGTTTTGTGAGATTTGTAGTTTTTTGTAAAATAAGACGTATTAACACCTCCGCTGACTGCTTTTCTATAGGGAAAAGGTTGTTTTTCTGAACAAAGCCAAGGTGTCATACAGCAGTAAGAGACTTCCTAAATATAAATGTGACAGAGCTCATTTTCATCTCTCGTCTTTTGGGAGGAAAACCGGTAATCACATGATTTCTTCAGCCGCGGTCCTCAGAAGGGAGATGGTTCCATTCAGTAGATGAAACCACAGAAAATCAGATTTAATGTGAAGCTACTGCTTGTTTTTAAACTGGCATCATGCTGATCTAACAGAGAAAACTCCTGATGGATTAACTAACAGTTTAAATGCTTGGAAACAGGCAAATTGGTGTCATTTTTACATGTTACATATAAATCTTTGCATTTCCAGAACCAGCGCATCCAAGCAAAACATCCTACGTGAATAAATGTTTTTAGAATAATCCTGTGATCAGGAGACTGCCATCATGCAGCTGAGGTCCTTCTTTTAACAACCATTCATTTTTGCAAATCAAAAAGAATAATTCATCAAACTAAAACCTCAAATTTTCTTTATCTTTGTCTGCCGAGTTGGATGGGTTGGTTATAAAACTGCCCTCCTGGTCTTCTTTTTGACTTTGCTGAGATAGATGAAGCTTCGCTTTGGCGTAAATCAGAAGTTTAGGAGCTTTATGCTCTAAATTCAGAACACGTCCGGCCGCAGATTTGGGAGGATTTGTGCGCATTATTTTGCGTTCTGTTTAATGTTTTAGCCACAAGTAAAAACTTCATTTTATGGATTGAACAGAACCCGTTTTATATTATTTTCTGTGTAACTTTCCAGCTTTTATCAGTAACCTACAGGCTGTCCTTCCTGAGTCGACCTCTTTAGCGTACGGACGCGCAGCATGAGAAGAGGCAGGCTGGCACCCCCGCTAACACACTGCTGTTCATGTGTGTGTGTCACCATAAAGGGTTCAGACAAGGTTGTGAGAGGATTTGGGATAGACCAGAAGAAAGTGCACTTACATGGAAACACACACACTGCATGGTGCCAGACCCCTGCTAGAACCGTTGTCTTGCTAAAATCTTCAACAGCTTGGGCCGGCCGGTGGCTCAGATCAGTGGAGTTATTATTTGAGGACATTTAACATTTATTTTCCGATGCTCATCTGCTAAGTGATCAAGTTAGCGGTAGCTCCACCAATGCCAGGAAATATTCTTTTGTAACAAATCAACATCCAGACTTGCTAACCTACCAAGCTCAGAAAAAACTAAATAAAACTAAATCTGTCCATCAGGGCAGAGGCAATGAATGAATGTAAATGGCCTGCATTTCATAGAGTCCTGGACCCCCCCCCCCCCCCCCCAGGCGCTTTATAACACAATCAGTCTTTCACCAATTCACACACACATTCACACGCTGGTGGGCCCTGGGGCGCAGTGGCGGAGGTGAGGCTGCCGAGCACTGGTGCCACCGGTCCCTCTGAACACCACCAGCATCTCTGGTGATCATTTCTGATTCTTGAGGATCGTTATACTGCACACTTTAGTCGTTTCTTCGCTTCTTCACACCTGGTTTGATGGTTGATTTTCTTCTGTGGCGATTAACAGCAGCCAGCAGCCTATTCCCCCTGCTTCTGACTGCACGTCTAAATAACAGTAATCAAAGAAACCTACATTCTCTCAAAAAGTCCCGTAGCTTGACCCGCAAGGCCCAATTCTACCAACAGCTTCCTCTGAACAGCACATACTCCACCGCACCCATCACCCAGTCTGTCCGGACGCTTCCCCGTTAGGGATGTATTTAATCAACAATGTCCCGTTCTCAACCTGCATATCAGTATCTCCACTCTTCTGCTCAACCTTCTATGTCTGACCACCGACTTCTGAAGTGCTTGACTCACCTGTTCAGCTGATTTAGTCTTATCAATTGGTTTAAATCAGGTGTGTTGGACCAGGGAAACATCTAAAACAGGGATTGGCAACTCCCTTTCCTGAAGGCCGGTCTCCAGCATGTTTTAGTTGTTACACACTTGACTCACCTGTTCAGCAGCTCAGCAGAAGCCTCTTAATCATCTGCTGATTAAATTCAGGTGTGTTAAAGAAGGGAACACACTGAAGCATGCAGGATCAAGGCCCTTCACTGATCTATAAACCCTAATTTACCTGTTCAGGGTTGTCCCACTGCTAATCTGAACCATCCACACTGAGCTTTTAGGGTTTTTGGTTTTTCAGGAAACTTCTTCTGTTTGATGCAGGTGAACGATTATTGCTGCTGGAAGGTATACTCAGTGCTAGAATCCTTCTGTATTCAGATTTAATCTAAGCTGCAGTGGCAGCCTGTTACAGTAATGGTTTAGTGGGAGAAACTAAAAAGGAAGTGAGAGGCTCTTTGTTCGTCGTCCCTGTTGATTTGTCTCAGTGCCTTTATTTTCTGTAATGCTGCAGCTGCTCTTGACAGGCGTGAAGATGAGGAAGGACGTTTGCTAATGGATCAGAAGTGTAGAGAGTGTCTCCTCTCATCTGAGAGGTGCCTATTAGGATGCTTCAAACATCCCAAAGTAATCAGTTACACGTCACAGGTTCTCCGTCCCACCCGTCTGAGGGAGTTTAGTGTCTTTATGTTGCTTCGAACTTTTCCAAGGCAAAGCCACATGGTGTGTTCCTATACCAGGCTGAGAAAACGACGAGTTTCTGCTCTCAGGTCAGCGATGGCTCCGCAGCAGAGGAATGCTGTTTGGAATCAAAGCTTCTTTTTTTCCATCTTAATTGAGAATCAAGCTTTTTAATTTCCCCAAGGCTGTTGGGATTAGTAGATCCTTGTGAAATATTACAAAAGAAAACAACACAATTCATCATATGTATATTTAATTTCTTCCTTGAACAATAAAATAATGCAGTTCAGGGACCTAATGTCCCCGTATGAAGATTCTGCGTCTCAGGAGGATAAAGGTCAGGAATAATTGTTCTGGTTAAGATTAACGAACCAAAGAAAAAAGTTGAAACAAAGTTCAAACCAGGAAACCAAAGTGATGTAGTAACCAGACCATCATCTTTTTCCAGTCTTTCGCCTCCACTCCCCAAAGGTGTGTTGGTCTCTGGTCCGCGGCTGGCTGGAGATCAGTCGAAACCATTCCTGGTTCTTTTCCTTACTG